CTCTGTTTTAGATGATCATGATGTTGCTCTCTTTCAATGACCTGCACGCTAACGGCCGTCCTTTTGAAGGGATTTCCTGATGCTTCGTCCTTTGAGCTCTTTGGATGATTTGTGCTGTTTTCCAACGGGGTTTGCTTTCTTAGGATGGATTTTGGGATTTGTTTATGATCTCGTGTGGCTGAATTATTGTTTTCACAAGCAAGCTTACTTTTGAGCTTCATTTTTTCTCTCGATAGGGTTAGCCTTTTGGTCTCATGGGTTGTGATGCCACCAATTTTTGTTGAGCAGCAGATCCGTTTGGAAATTGTACAGGCTCTCTTCACCCTCACCAACTGTTTATGTCATGAGAGTCTCTTGCAAATTAGGTTGAGACTTGAAATGGCATGTCATATAGGTGCTGAGGTCAATAAAATCCACTTGTCAAAAAAATAAAAATAAAACTCTAAATTTATTTACCTTACTCTGTACAATGTTACATCTTCCAAGAATTCCATTTCACATTGTTACATGGATAAGCTAAGATGCAACTAATTGTTCCCCCTAAATCTTCATGAGGACTTTCGGAAGTAATTACAAATTTATTATATTTCAATGTATAGTCAAAACAAATAATTTATACAAAAAAATGGTTAGATTTTATTTTATTATATGTTTGTTTAGAATAAATTAGTATACGCTGAAGAACAATACCAAAAGCCATGAAATCTCTGGCACTAAATATAATGACGGACTACATCGATCTATTTTTGGTGGCTTGTGACGATTGCTATGCTCCCTGAACCAAATTTATTTATACAACTTTGATCTTAGTTTCCTTTGCCTGCCTAACTGATGAGGGCTGCATACAGAAGTTGATTCCATGTATCTGGGAGGCCAGCGACGCACCAGTGGGTGCAATCCATGCCCTTGAAGCCATTGTAAGAGCTAGGATGTGCGTCTTTTCTTAATTGGGAGAGACTTGTTATATCTAGCAAATGAACAGGTTTCTTCATACTACCTATCACCTCTTTAACTACATATGCTGCCTGAGGCAAACCGGTCGGATAAACTGATCCATTGAATGGCATCATCTCCCTTGAGCAATTCCTCACTCCTGGCTCATTCCAATCTGTGCCACTGATTTCACATGAACATACCACATGTTAAAGGGAGGCTCGTACAATTTTTGGTCCAGAAATAAAAAGAGGTGGAAAAAGGAATATCAGCTTAATTACTTGTAGTGGGACGGAGAAATTCCCTGAAAGATAACCTTACTTCTCCTAGTATCCACATCTGAATCAACCCATTTGGCCCATGTCGTCAAAGCTGTGCGAAAGGCAGCCATACGATCAATGTCCTTGAGTATCTTCCCATCAACTTCCACGTAATCCCATCTGCATTTAAAGAAGACATCTTTAATTTGCTCTTGTTTGGGTCACTAATCACATTAACTATGCTTATTATATTAACTCTGAGAAAGAAAAAGAAATTTGATGCTTTGAGTTGTAGATCAGCTCAGCTCATACTGTTGCTTCAGTCCTCTGCGATACCACCAAAGCCACGTGTTGAAAACTAAAACATCAATGTCCTTCCATAAATTGCCATCCCTAATAGAATTCAGCTTCAGAACTCTACCAATGCTTTCGTCGTCAACATCTACTAAGTATAGGGAATGAAATAGCATCACGGAGACCTCATAGTCCTGAAATCAGTTCAGTCCAACAAGCACATACAGTTAATTGTGGAATTATAGTTTCTGGTTAAAAAAAAAAAAATCCTATGAACCGCATAGCCTTAGTTTTACAGCCTGGTTTTTAACCGATTATTTATTTATTCTTCATTCCCTCCTTTCTCAATTTTCAGTTTACCATGCTGTTGCTCTTGATCTTGAAGCATCGGACTCCCTATGAGCAAAAGGAGCTGCGAGTTGATAGAAAATTACTGTAATTTTGATTGTAGTTTACCTGGAATGTTACAGCGGAAATGCTGTTGTTATTCAACTCTTGTCTGATGATACTGGAATTGGGCGCTGCAGCGTGAAGCATGCATATCAGTGATTGCCAGTGGTTCAGACTTACAGAGTCCCCAACAAACATGATCTTTTTGCCCTTGAATCTATTCAACAAATCTTGTCCGTCAAACCTGTAATTTGTTCATAATTGAGATGTTTCAATGCAAAGTGGAAATGAAATGAAAGAGATGTTTAACCAAATTAAATCATATACAGGAATTAATTCCCGGACAAGACTGATTTCACAATAATATGGTCCATCAAACATGGAAAGAAAGTTAGGAGAAAAACATTGTCAAAAAGCAGATCGATGTATCCCGCACAGATTGACTGCATTCGGCGTACATGTGGGGCATTGACCTGAGCCACATATTTCTCCATGTCCTGTCTTTTCACCACCTCTTTACTAAAAAGTTAATGCAGTTTTACAAAGATATATACTATTTTAGCTTTACTTAAATCCTGCTTTTGCTCTTTTTCAGATTCTTTATTTTAGATTATTGTCTTTTAGGCGAACACATCATGATGTTGATGCATTTCAAATCCTAGAGTCTGTTTCCCTGATTATAGGAGAATTAATGCGAGACGCTGCAGATCATTCTTTGCAAAATAATGGACAGTTTCCATGATAACATGGTTACATTTCCTCAGATTTATTTAGTTTCCCAGCATCATTAGTCGGCATGCTGTCCTTATGAGACTACCATGGTAACAACAAAATGCATTTTTTGCAACAAACTCCTGCCCCACCCTCTGACATGAATAAATATATTCATGCTTGTTGCCTTCAGGTTTAATGTAGATCCTTAATTTAAAAGGTCTTTGCCATAATTGTACACCCTGGACTTTTCCAGTCTGCACTTTGTTTTTCTTCTAACTTTTCTTTTCTTTTTATCAGTATCTGACCTTGCATATGCTACACCTCATAGTACCTGGGCTGTATGATTTCTCCCTCCCAATTTAATTTAATTAATGAATGCAAACTGGACATTTGTTCGGCTTCACTAAAACTGATACCAACCATAAAGAGCATAAACAATGAAATTAAAGGAGCCTATTCTTCAAAAGCATGCAACTATACATGACAACACTAACAAAAGAGAATTTGAAAATGATCAATATTGATCAATGTGTTCAGAGAATGAAGTAAGCTAAATAGGCAAAACATAGACGCATGAAGCAGAGAGAGAGAAATGTACGTACCTTGGCAGCTGGCAGTTGCTTGGCTGCCATCTATATTTAAGGTAGAGGTGATCAGGGCGGCCATACTTGTGGCAATCAAATTCCTTGCGGATGAACGGACAGGCTGATGAGTCGTAGAGAGGATAGGACTCGTCATATACCCACCTCCCTTGGTACACATTGCAACTGCTGTGCTGTTTTCTGGAGTCAACTCTGCTTTTCTGTCTGTGAAAATCACTCCCATTTGCTAAACATATACATGAAAAGATGACAAAACCGGCAACGAGAAAGGAGCAGGATCTTCTACTCCTGGAACCCATGAGATATAGTGGGAATGGATGATGAGGAGCGAGGAGAAGAATGTGGCTTGAAATTTCAGAGGAAAGTCAAGGGGAGATAATGATTGGTGCTATTTGTTTATACCAGAAAGAGAGTCTTCTACGCAACTTTCGATTTGTCGTATAACTATTTGCTGGTTGACTAGTGTGATATATATCCTGTCTATTGGTGGACTTATCCGAGGAGTTACCAAGAGTTTGTCATTCTCAGATTATGCTGCGACTGCAAAAAGTTCCTGCTATAATCAGAATTGCAAGCAGCTAGGTACCCACATGTGTTGACAGTGCTTGACGTGGTTCAACGAAATTAAAAATAAATAAATAAATTTCTAGTTTCAAAAACCATCGAAATGTGAGTAATGGGATTAGGAAAAAGGCAGATGCAAGGTAGAAATGGAACTGTGGCCATCAAGTATGGAACTAACTAATACAGTGGGGAACAGTATTGTGTATAAGCAGTGGACTAACAGCTATCCCTTTTCTTGATCACAAGTAGAAACAAAAATCCAAGTTCCATTTGTTTTTTCCCAATAGAATTATGCCAAAGAGATTGACTTTACTCCAATGGGTTTTTTTGGGTTAGATGTGGACATAATTGCCTACATTCACATGCAGCACATGACAAACAACTCACCTGGTGAACACGTCGCAGATTTTAAGTGGCATGTCTCTCTTAGTCGGAATCAACCATTAATTATTAAGTGGCATGTCTCTCTTAGTCGGAATCAACCATTAATTATTACTACATTGAAGATGGAAAAGGGAAACCGGAATGTGCTAAGAAAGGTATAAGTGATCCTACAACTTGATATGTCAAATTTAATTTTAATTTTATATTTGAGTATTTGGTTCATTAGTTAATGTATTATCTATTTATTTAAATAATAGAGTTTAAATCACTCTTTTTTCAAATATAAAAAAAATAACTCTAATTTTATACTGATTTACTGTTTTAATTTGCCTGTTTTTATATAATACTTTATTATCATTATAATTACTAACGGTACATGTAACTTTATAAAAAATTAAAAAAAAAATCTTTTTGATTGGTGAAAACAATATATGTTGTGGGAAAAGGAAGTTTATTTTGTTCAATCTTTATCCTATCTCTTCCACCGCCCCGTTAATAATATTTTTTTATATAAATCATTTTAATTAACTTATTAGAAAAAAAAATTTATGTAACGTATATTTATCTTAATATTAATATATAGTAATAAAATTATAATTTTTATTTGTAAATCTTGCATATCAATTTATAACTTTAAGTAAAATAAAAGTGTTTACTACACATTTTGATATAGCAAATATAATATAAGTTTTAAAAGATACACAAAATAATAATCCTACATAATAAGTTTCAACTTTTCAAATACAAAATAAGCATTTAAATTTAACTAATTGTGTGTGTAAATATATGCATTCAGGGAGTATTCAGTCTCGAAAAAGAATAACTTACTGGTAAATATATAGAATGTAATGGTACACTATATATGATGGTGATGAATATTAGTAATAACAATATATGTACAAAAATCTTATAATATTATTGATACGTGTGTCTGTATATATATATGTGTATGTTTAACTATTTTAATTTTTCTTGAAATCAATGTGTATATATGTTAGTTGTAAGAAAGAAAGAGAAAGAATAGAAGAAAATGTATAAAAGCTAATTAATTATTCAGTTAGGACTATCATTGAGACCAAGTTAATCGACTAAATGCTATTAGTTAGTGGTCTCAAAGTCTCTTGAAGCAAGTTAATTGATTGATTAGTTGATTAAGTGAGTAATTAATTTTTGAGAAATATGAGTTAGCTGTTTAAACCTTCAAGTTAAAAATGAATAGGTTTGAAAAAATTTAAACAATTAAAGTGATTTTTCATTTTTAAAGATGTAATTTTCGAAACAAAAACATACCCGTTCATGAATGGATGTCTAAAGTAATAATTAAGATTGATAAAATACACGATCTCAAAAGTCACTCTTAACATTATTGGGCACTTTCAATCTATTAACCATCTCTCTTTTTCAAAAGCAAATTTACAATAAAATTGTAAATTTTATTTGCAAAAAGCATACACTATAATACCTAGTGAACTCTCAATAATAACATTTATAGCTCTTATAGGAAACATCCAATCTACCATGTACCAAACTTTTGGAAACACCTAGGTAAACAAGTTAGCTCATTTAATTAATCAAAAAAGATTCTTAGCAATATTAAATTTTTATTAAGAGGCCCTACCTCTGCTTGTGAATTCCCTTGATACATTTATGCACCACTACTTCTTTCTGTCATTGATTAATAATGGTTAACATAACATTGTCCACAGAGAAAAGAAAATCAACAAAAATTTCATATCAATTTGTCATAAATTGTTATACCAACTTCCCAGCAACTTGGTGAAGGGATCTAGCTAGAATTGTGATCTGCATTTTGTCAAAACTTTTTAAAAAGTTTTTCTGGTGCTTCCCAATATTGTCATCATCATGTGATTCCAATACATACAATAATCAATTAAAAGTAGTGACAGAGACATGACATTTATTTGATCCCATATTGAGTCGTCTATTTTTTATATATCTTAAAATTTATGATTGAAATTAATTTTTTTAATAGATACAATTTAAGAGTTTGTGAATGTATATATCTTAAAATTGCCATCAAAATCCTAATAATTGTATTTATTTAAAATTTTCACTCATTTTACTTTACAAGATTAGTTTTCTATTGCGGTTTGTGTGTGTATATATATAATTGAAAAAGTTATCATATTTAATAATCAATTACATATAATAATTTTCTGAACAAGAATTAAAGAATAGTTATGAAAAGGACAAAAAGAAAAAGTAATCATATTAATTTTTTATAAATAAAAAAATAATATTTTGTCAAATATACTTTATGAAATATTTTACTATCATTATATTTTTAAGATTTCACCATAATTCATATTTAAATCACTAATATTCAAAACAAATACTTTATCTCAAAATCTTAAATATTGTAAAAAACAATTAAATTACCCACAAGACAAAAAAAAAAATCAAAACAATTGAATTGTTTAGAATTTCTCTTCATCCTCTGCAACTACCAAATGTTGTGCTTTTTTGTTTCAATTAAAAAATGAACTAAAATGTAACAATTCAAACTCAAACCAACATGTTTAATTTTTGAAAAGTAATCTTACCCATTCACCATGCAATCTCAAATGCAAATAACTTCGAAGGATTATACAATTTAAGACTATAATTCTTCAAAATGGGAAAAAGAAGGCAAACCTCTGGGTGGGGTCCTCATTAGCAGAGTGAAATATCCTGATTGACATGCAGAAAAAGTTTTCCTCACTAGCAACAAAATCAGCGCCTGGTATTTATATAGCAAGGCTCAACCTTAGTTTCTCGAGAAAGTGTGAAACTTTGACCAAAAAAATTGGTAAGTAAAAACTACATTGCAAAGAGGGTAATAGATTCGATGGGTTTTGCTCAATTTCATAAAATTGTCAGATTTTTTGAATTTTTATCAAGATTCGGAATTAAATGACTTGAGTTTGTTTGGTATTTGTACAAAATAGTCTATTGATTTAGTGTGGGTAAGGTTATTCTATTTGCAATAAGTATCTTGTGGTGGTTGATTTACATACTGCTTAATAGCATAAAAAGCCTTTAATAAACTCATGCCTACAAAACAACTTTTCTGTTTTCTTAAACAGCTTAAAAAACAGTTTTTTTATGGGTTTTACTATGAGTTTAGGCTTTTTTTCTGTTCTTTCTTTCTGGTTTTTACTTTTCCTAAGTTGGGAAGTAGGATTTTTTTTTCGAAAAAAAGGTGTTACTCCATTATTTGGTAATTATTCTATAGATTTATCTGTAAACACAAACAAAAATGTTATAACAAGCAGATAAAAAATGAATGATGGTCATCTGTCACGTGGTGGTTCTTCAAACCAGTCTCTGTACAGCCCTAGACTCAACCTTACCTTGGTCTTCGACTCTAAGTCAGCTTAATCCTATTAGCACTAGTCAAGGCCACAAAGGTCCCTAAAGCAACACAAATGCAAATGAATGCAAGTACAACACACATATTTAGCAGCAAGCTCAAGCCACTCAAGCACACACACTAGCAGAAGATTGAGAGAATGTGTAAAGAGAAATTGAAGGAAATGGAATAGTTTATTAATCAGTCAAATTGTTTACAAGTGTGTTTGATGGGGTATTTATAGACAAAGGGCCCCCAAGGGTCAAACTCTACTGTACAAGTTTGATTAGGGGTTTATGGTTGGCTTCCTGTGGCTCTTGGGTTGGAATTTTCCTGCCAAGAAATCCTCTCAAGCGATAATGTCACAGGGGTTTTCTCTTGACCTGTGCGGCCTAGCTTTTGCCTTACTCAAGGGCTCTTAGAAAGGCTAGCAGCCTTCTTAATTGAAATAAGTTAAGATCGTTTTTAGGCAAAGCACAAGTAAGAAGAGAGATTGGGAAACAAATAGAGAGCTTTTATTGCATGAAATTCATGTACAAGAGTCATTACCCTCAAATGAGGGGGCTCCAGGGGCTTATATAGGTAAGTCCCCTTGGAGCCATTACAAGCTCAATCCCAACGGATAAGGGCTATTTTAAGCCCTGCTGAACCCTTTTGGCGCGCCCCTGGCACTATTGCTAATGGTAGGCAACTGCTGCCTCTCAGGCTCAAGGCTATCCAGTGTTTCCTGCACATCAGGCAGTCTGCCTGGGTACCTCACACCCCAAGTTTCTCGCCAATCAACCTGTCTCACTCTGCGCCCTTTTCCTACTGGCCCGCACTCTCATCAGCCCCTGGGTGCTAATGCCTTCGAGCCATAATTCTGCCTTGGCACCAAATCAAAGTTTCAACCCTTGTTGCTCGCCCATCCTCGAGTTGGCTCGCCTACTCTCGAGCCTCAATGCCCTACCATCAAGCTAGCCTGCCCCTTGCCATAAAATGGGCGTGACAATAACACTGAGGGGCATTGTGCTACTTTGTGCAATTGGCTTGCTCGCCTGTGGGCCTACAAATTGCCTCAATGTTGCTCATACTTTAGCCCAATGGCATGCGGGCTGGCTGGGCAGCTACGACCCTACATGCTTAGTTTGCTTGCCTGCATGCCTAGCTAGGTAGCCTCTAAAGCTTGCCAATGACCTGTCCATCCTATTCATGACCTACTGCCTTAT